CCCGTTCTATCCTGTCCCGTTGTATCTGCCTAATTCATTTGCCCGCTTTTATGTGCATCCTCGTCTATCTAGCTCCCCTGCAAAGCTCTCGTTTTTTTCTCCTAATTTTATGCTGAACAGTAAGTTCAAGGAAAATGAGACTGCTTATTTGTCGACCTTTATGCCGACCTCTTCCATATCGATTTGAGTGTGTCCATTACCATCTCGACCGGATGGGTGAGTGAGTGAGTGAGCAGATGTACAGTCGATTGGCTGAAATGAATGAGTGAACAAATGAATGAATGAACAGATACAGACAGACAGACAAATGAGTCGTTGGACAGACAGGCGAGGTACATTGGTCTGAACGCGGTGAAAAAATGTACGCACACCACGGGGTGTGCTAAACACAAACTCCTTTCTCATTTACTGATCTGCTAGCAGACCTGGGAACAACCCGAAGCTCCGTTCGAGTTGAAGTTCATCATAGCATCAAAGGTTGGAGGAATCCAAAAGACAGCACAAGGTAGAATGTGGATGCCGTTAAAATAAAATCCTTCATGAACGACCTACGACTGCGTCGTGTACATTACACTCACAAATCAGCCCATGCGTCGCCCTTTTATTTTCTGTAGCCATGGTAATGATGTACTATCCAAGGGATTTAAGTTAACTAAGAACAATTTTACCGTCTTCCAGTATTTATCATTAGATAGTCTTCCCGTTAGGGAGATAACTTATGTGCAAATATGGACAGCTTTGGGGTCAGAATAAATTTCAACTCAAAACCTCCGATGGCTTCATTGAAACTTTTAAGTGCAGAGAATAGATATCAGATTCCTTTTAAAAAAATAAGCAGAAATGAAGTTTATGCTCGTATTTTCGCAGCTAACGTGATCTTGTTTTGAGTCACTTTCAATTTCTTTGATTTCAGACTATCTAGTTGATGCCAACTGAATGCTTTTATTTGTGAAACAGTTTGTGTATTCATCGATAAGGAGCGTTGAATAACTGTTTTGTCCTTGGTCCCCATGGTTTTACGGTTCAAAGCCCGGCAGGAACCAAAAAATGGCTCTCACCTCTCACCAGTACAAACAGAGACTGAACCGCTCTCTGGTAGTCTTTGTTGGCCATTGTAAAATTCGTTTCCAAATAAAGTTTACTAGCAAACCAGCGAACTTTGGGAGAGTAAATCCCAAACAAACCCAGAAGAATAAAGATTCCCACAAGAAATGCTATCGTATACAGAGAGTAGCAGAAACGCGAACAGAAAAATAAGAAAGTCCTATTGAGTTATTTTGGCTTTGTTCGGTCTCATTACCTAAGCGATGAAAAATTCACAGAAAGTACCTCTTCCCCAAAACAAAATAACATTTCCCCGAACGGTCAGTTTCGAAAGCAGTCCTTATTTTGGAACAAGTGTTTAATTAATCTAATAATTATGTAAGTAGGAAGCAAAAGCATTTGTGATTAATTCGATTGCAGAGTTCTAGTACTGTTCTCACACTGTGATTGTTCTCGTTTTGCAACGAGAAACCCAAGATATTTTTGATGCTATCCTTTTGCGTCTTTCTACTGATTGTTTGACCGATTTGCTTGCTGATACCGGCTTTTTCGATTGGAAATAACAACTAACGATCAGAGTGACTTGACGAGATAGATACCAGTAAACGGACACACGCATACATGCACGCAAAAATTGCATCTATCATTCGGGATCAAATTTACTCACCTCTTTTAGACGCGAGAACTCATAGTTTCGATCGATCAGCTGACGTTCTGCTTCGCTTCCACGCGTGCATGCCTCATTCAACTGATGGCGCAGACGAGCGATCTCCGCGCGATCAGCCTCAATTCGTTCCAGTCGAATGTTTGTTGCCCCGCTTGCATCCACCGCCGACGCAGTCGCTGCCCCGGTCACGGCTGTTCCAACTGCCTCCGAAGTTGGCACATTAGTTGTTGTGGCCGCTTTGCCGACTTTGACCGCCTCAATCAAACGTCGTAAACTTTCCTCCGTAGCCGTCAGACTGGCTTTGACGTTTGCTGTACGTCGGTCCGCTTCTTCGACCGCTTTTTTTAACTGTTTGTTTTCCAGAGTCAATTCGTCCACTTGACGTTTAGCCAAATCCAACTCACTCAGATGTTCCGTGCCGTGTTCGGCGGAGAAACGCCCACGAATGCGTATGTCTCGTTCTCGGCGCAAATCTGCTTCCATATTATGCAAAGTCTCGAGCATAGTCTGACGATTCATGGGAGGTAAAGTCGATGGGCCGCAGAATGAAAGTGAGATTTTATTTTGTGCGTGATCAAGTGAAATCTCAGCTCAGTTATGGATCAAAACGTTGGGCAATGAGCACGTTATTTTGCGATCAATTCCAAAGGTTTCACAAGTGTTTATCTTGTGTGTCTGCGATTATTCGAACATTAGGCTGAGGGTTATGCTAACGACTGTGTTTTGGAACTTCAGTCATGGTTGTTTTCCGAAGAAACGAAAACAACTCGGCCATAATAGTTCTTCTGGGATGAGAAACAGATAAACACTCATTAGAATAGAATTTGATGTGCACGTATTCTCTTTAAACCCTCAATAGCTGAAAGAAATTTTGGTGCTTTAGCTGATTGCAAAGCATTTAATCTGGATACTTTATAATCTCACATATTAAATGTGCGTAACTCAGATACTACTGAGGTATGTTATACTCTATTTTTCGTCACACTGTGACTTTTCCATTACACAAAATTTGGATACCATTTCACTAATATAGAAGAGCAAGCGACACAGTTTTCGAAGTTTACCAAGCTCATATACGTGTTACTTATATCACCGATTATTTGATATCAGAACCCGCAAAATAAGTCTTCTGTAGGCCATATCTCCAGGAAATAAGATACGACTGACCGGATCCAAACGAACTGATTTACGTACATGGCCTGCGGATCAACCCTTAGATAGCCGGAAGCTACAGCTGGGAACTCCGCGCACTAATAAACAACTAGAACAGTTAGTATTTGTCATTCAAAGCCGAGAGCATAATCAATCAAAACTGCATTAGGATCTCCAACCACCTTGACTGAAAACCAACCTTTAGGAAGTGCGCACTCAATGGTGACCGCACACATTTGACAACGATTACGAGAGTCTCTTCCCCCCCCCGCCTTCTCCCTCATTAGAGGATGAGTTTATGTTGAAGCTTCTCAGTACACAGACAATACGACATCCGTATTGTTGCTTATACTGGAACATCGGTAGTTCGTATGGAATAATTTCCATGAAGACATATCCTGTTTTACGTAACCTGGGTACAAAGTGGATAGGCCATACACAAAACAATGAGAACGCACTAGCGGACCGTGCTCACAAAACCCCAGCTGAATTATTAGCACAGAATAGTTTTACATTGTAGTCCAAAACAGAAAACATAAGCCGATGCGAATGAGATCGGTTATCATTACTTTGGGCTGTTAACGATCTTTTTACGAGCACAGATCGTCATCTGATGCTCACTTCCGGTTTAATCTGTTGGGGATCGGCTAACCCAGTTGATCATAAAAACACTGGGAAATTCAAACTTATTCCCAATTCACGGGGCCGTTAATAACAAAACAGCGTGCGGATTGATGGAAAAATTTATTATTTTGCTTGATTATGTCAATAATTTGAGCACGGAAGTTACCATCAGAGTAGATTTTTAGTGAAATATACTCCTTTGATCAGTACATATATGAACTGGGTTGGTAGACGATGGTGAGTATGATTTCATAATTCGATTTCAAATTATGCAACCGAGTTTGGAATAGAACGGAATTGTGTGGAATACATTGAAACAACGCTTTTCTTACCTATGGTAGGTCTCATTCTTCCAAACTGCAAGCTCTAGATATAGGATTTGTTAAATAAAACTTGAGATTCAACTTTTGAAGTCACGCATTCAAATCCCATCACTGTCATCAAATTTCCTCACTCCTCTTGGTTCCTTGGCACTCCTTTGATAAACTACTCGTGTTCCCTGAAGACCGAATATCCAATTGTCATTGGCATAGATCCCTTTTTTAAAAGCCCGCATCCCGCTCTATTGGTTTATGTGAACATAAAATGTGAATTTTAACAGCCCAGACTCGTGCGACTGCCCACACTCAGCTCATGTTATACAGACGTGTAAAGCTCCACCTCCTCATTCGCCCGAGAACCGAATCGATCTTGGCCGAAAGGCGGACAAGCATTGTCCTTATTCGACTGAAAAGGTTTGCGACTAGTTTACTCACGCTGTACAGAACAGTTCGAGCAAACATTGGGACACTTCAGCTGAGTTTAGGTTGGTTATAAAAACAATTTGTGTAGTTGTCATTGTCATTATTATTGTTGCTATTATTATTATTATTATTGATTCATTAACCACCTTGCTAGTTATCTTGGTGTGAGCATTTGATGACACACTGTTGCACAATTACGTGTGAAAGTATTCTACTTTATAGCTCAACAATGAACTATTAGACCTCAATCCATTTATTTACAGGGGAGACATTTATCAAGCTGTAGGGATCGCCAACGTGTCACCCCATATGTTCAAATTTTACCGCCACCGTAAAACATTCCCAGATATCATTCTACTACCATATGGCTACTCTTTGAATGACCGCTTTTCGTTCGTGAAAATTTTGTTCGTGAAATCATGTATTTAATACAGTAAGTAAAACAATTGAAAATTGAAGATTTTTCTCAAATGTTACAAATCTTTCTTCACAAATTAATAATAAGAAGAAGAAGTAAAATGAAAACGCCGAGTTTGAATGGAAAAATGTCAGCTGATGATTCAGTTGAAGCGCTTCTTTTTGGTGAGATGCATTTTTACTAATGAGGTTCTCGAACGGTGCGGCGTTTTTGAACTGTCACCATTCAAGATTTGTCCGGGTGTACTCTCTTCACATGCGAGAAATAGCATATGCTTGTTTAAGACCACGAAGCTGTTTCACGGAAGACAAATTTTATTTCCATGTGGTTTTGAACCTTTCAGGTAGATCCAGTTGTGAACAACATGGAGAAACTGTTTCCTGGATAACTACTATTCGGGTGCCCTGAATTTGCAGTTGTTGGTATGCATCATGTCATTGCGATTTAAAAAGCAGCTTTTGGAACTTCTAACATACATATCAAATATTCAAGTGAACACTTGATTCGGCTCATCTTAACACGGGTCACACCGGTATTGTCAACATCATAATAACAGAGTTTAGAGAGACAGTAAGACTGTATGGGATATTTATAGTTCAATCACAATAATGTAAACTGAAGTGAAATACCAATTTTGAGCCATAGTGAAAGCTTCTGACAAATATTGGGCTTATTCGTTCACAGTCAGGGTACTTTTCAGCACCAGTCTAAACTTTACCTGTGGTATATCGGTATATATGATATATTTGGAAAACCGTATTGAACCACCACATGTAAACATGTTTTGTTGTTTAAACCAACCAAGAGGTTAACCACCAGATTCAAATATAATTCCGCCAACTCCAGCGTATAGTTGACTAAGTTTAATAATAGTTCCCCAAACGGAGTCTATTCGGTCATTTTGATTAAGAGGAGAAGAGCGACTCATTTGTACAAATTCAATCCAAATATTACGGCTCCGGCGTTAAAACTATCCTCGTTAGATTACTTTACTTCAAAACCACGTGCTCAAGTGCCCATCAAATGAAGACTGAGTGTTTGATACTTCTTCTTCACAGTTGTTTTAGCACTTCTATCCCGTGGAGAAAAATCGCTTTACGTGTTAGTTCACATTTGTTCCGGTGGGAATGATGTGAACATACATACACAAACACACACAAACACGGAGTATCTGTCTGAAAATTCGTTGGAAAGCACCACAACCAAATGTTTGCCTCGTTCATTGTCGACGAATGCAACCAGTCACAAATCTGCTAAACTGACTCACTATTATTTCTCCCACAAATTTAAAATTAACTTTTTCCATTGTCAAAATTAGCTCGGGCTGCTAAGGGATTATAACCGTCTTAAGCTACAATTTATTCGACAAGACGGGCATGAGATCGTCCAAATTAGTTTGGGGTCACATGTGAATCGATTTNAATCGATTTACTTTATTGATCCACCCTCTTTCTCAATCCTCAGTTTCTCCAAGTTTTGAGAAAAAGCTGACCTTGTACGGATTTATTGACCCAGAGCAGACAATTCCAAAGTACAGTTTCTTCTACATTACCGGAAGAAAATACGTTCTTTAAATGAAAAATTTCCGACTCTATTGCTCATATATTACTCGTCTGGTATAGTCTTATCTTGATTTAAACAGCTGTGCGTAATTTGTTTTATTACATACATTGGTGTGATGAACAACAGACGGGGTAAACCCCATAGTCACGAGGACCTGCTGTTCAGTGGTGGAAAACAATAACCCAAGACCCGGGGCTTGGAGTGGCGATCCACCCAAGGCCCCGCTAGGTTAGGCGTGGCACTGAACCGGAAGACAGCAAAGCTGCTTACCACCAAAGTTCAATGGTGGCGGGGCTTGAACCTCGGACTATATGGTCAAAAGCACGCCAGTGACAGTGACCGAAGCCACTGTGCCACCACCACTCGAAATAGTTCTACTGAACCTAAATATGCCCTCAAGTTCGCAATAGTAATATGTTAAGGTATGATTGGCGAAAACTGTTATTAAACTGGATTGCTGAGAGATGGATTGGTACTCACTCGACAGTTCTGTTGTGTACCCATTGATGAGTTACAGTTTATCATCATTATTCCCTTTTTTCTTCTACTGGAGGTAAACACTATTGATTAGTGGTGGTGTGGTGTTGGATAAACATTCGTCAAGCTTCATCATTGTACATATGCACACACACACACACACGCACGCGAACACAGAAACAGTCTAGTTTATCCCGTCAACCATTCATTTGAGAAGCACAAAACTTTAATTCTACTCTAAGTAGAGCTCATATCAGTAATGCGCGTACCGACCGTCCCGTTCGGAATTTGAACTCCTTGCATCGAAGGTGTGCATGCCATCACGGTGCAAACCAACTCATATCTGAGAGAATTGGAGTTTAACAAACAAGTGAGTCATAATTTCACCGTCAGAGCTAGTCAGTACGTTGTGGACATAACTAGTGAGAGCTACTTAAGAACAAACTTATAGTTTGCAACATGCTGAAAAAATTAAACACAATGTTTGGATTGAGGAGGTCATCAGTGAATTAAGGGGATGGAACTGGATG